GCACATTTCAGCCTAATTAAAATAAGGTATGTTGCAAAAAAATTAAACATCCTTTTCCATTTGTTTATGGTGGACAATAACTGCATTACATAAGAGCAGGTTTCAAGTGACTGTCAAGTTAATATGTTTAAAACTTATTGGCATTTCTGCACTATAAAGAGGACAATTCACCAATCAAACCAATCAACCAATCAAAACAAACATGCCACTGTGCTTTTAACCAATCAGACACTAGCTATAGAGTATAGCTCATTATTATAATTCAAGGCTGTGGTCTAAGAAAAATTACGAGACCAAAGATTGCTAAACCATGAAATCCTGGCTGCCTAGCACTTAAGTTTATATGAAAAAAGTAAGTTTTTCCAGTCGTCCAAAAGCAAAAGTTGGTTGCCTGTGGCACCTGGGTTCTTTTAGTGCACAGCCCTGTCATATGGCATAAGTTATTTACATGTGTCATTGTGTGGCCTAAGTTAGGACAATCATTGGAAAACTGCTCTAAGCACAGTCAAAGGATTAATAGGTAATTTATTCTAAGAGGCCCATGCTTCAAGTTCTCTCAAATCATCATCTTCAGCTTTGGCTTTGGCTTTGGCTGGGAAAAAGCAAAGAAAAAGAGAATGCAAGATGTTAGCAACTGGTTAAACTCTAAATTTTTCCTTGGCTTATTTATGGCATCTAGGACATGTCCAGTTTGTAGTTTGCCCCAGATTACTTATGGTGAGCAATTCTTCTCAAACCAGTTTGCCAACCAACCCAACAAACATGACCCTTTCCCCAATGTGTCCTGAAATAAGATTTCCTGAAGGCACAGGTAAAGGTAAAATTAAAAATTTTAAGGAAACCTCTGATAAGGAAACAGTTGAAAGTACAGTTGATTACAAAAAGAAGTGAAAGTAAATTATGATGTTTCAAAGTCATCTTGACTCCTTTTTCAAGTAGAGAAAAAAAAAATAATGGTTGAGATATTAATTTATAGTGTGAAAGGTGTAAGAATATGTTAAAGAGTAACACAGCCCAATTAATAGTTCTTAGGTGTCAACAGTTAAATGTACGTAATAAACTCAGATGAATACTCTTGCACAAATTGAGTCTGCCTGTGTGTTGAGTTTTGTTTTTCTTTCACGTATGAAGAGTATTTCTTGAACTAAACAGCACTTTAATTGACAAAGTAACTAACCTGGAGCAGCTGGTAGTTCTGTAGCAGGGACACTTGGCAGATCAGCTGTGCCACCAACCTCTAGCAACTGTTCGTCTAATCCTTCTTGTTCCAGCTCTTCAAGTTCATTCATGAGTTCATCCTTAATTAAATGATAATTTCAAACAAAGCATTACACAACCATATCCCCTAATCAACATTTCTATTTCGTATTGACTACAATGGGAAAGCTTCCTATCCGGGGCAGAGCACCAACACTCCCAGTCACAATTTGCAATGTGTTATTGTAGAAAACATCCAGACTTCTCCCACAGAGGGTTTTTTGGTTTTTTAACCCCCACGCTCCCATCCCTCTGTAAATTCCTGGCAGTTTTAGTTCACACATTCCTTTAAACATTTTGCCTTTTGAGACTCCTCTGCATATTGGAGTTTCTAGTAACCCTCCTTAGGATAAGTATGGATATTTTCTGGAACCACACATTAAGATGAAATCTGATAGAAAATCAAGCAATTTCAGGTTTTAGTGGACAAAAATCTGGTACCAGAATAATTTTAAGTATTTTACAGTCATTTTTACATTTTTTTAAAGCTAAATACATAAATAATTGCCTGAAATAACACTGAAAACAATTTCCCATGGGAACCAGAGAAAATAAATTTCAAAGTTCAGAGAACTTGTACAAACACAGGCAAAATTTTATCATCAGTTTCATTTCACCAGCACTTTCAAGTGTTTCTTATGAAGTTCAACATTCGTTTTCGACGTTTGGTGTTGCTAGAAATGATTTTTTTTTTTTGGGAAGATATTTAAAACAGTCATACAGAAGTTTGCAATACGATGTAAATAATCTTCGTACTGGGTTTTTGTCCACTTATTACTCAAACTTCTGGTGGATTCTGTCTTAATTACATTACTATGGAAACCAAGATAAACTCTGGCAGTATGGGACATGTTGGCCATGTTCCAAAAGTAAATGCCCACAACACTTTCAGGTTTAGAAACTTAAAATACTGTAATTCTTATTACTACATTAATTTTACAGGCTTGCTACTTTCAGGGGCCACTACTTTCAGGTAGCTAAATAATATTATTACAGTAATTTACCCAATTTTAGGAATAGAGACCTGGAGAGGAGATTATCACTTGCTGTTGTTTGATGTTACACATGTTTAGTTCTCTTGTCGTGATGACAATTTTATTTATATTTGAATGTTTTATGTCATGTAAATATTGTAATAATAAGGTCAGTAGTTTTTAAATTTTCACTTATTATCACATTGCTATTAGGTCTTTCTTTTATTTTATACACGCCCTCACAAGCTTTTAGCTTTAAAACTCATCGTGTTGAGAAAAAGGCTTCCTAGCCTAGCCTAACCTAGCCTAACCTAGCCTAGCCTAGCCTAGCCTAGCCTAGCCTATCCTATCCTATTGTATCCTCTTGTCATTTAGTGACAAGAACTAGAAATTAAACATGTTCTCATAAAATAGATGGACTCCTATCTATGACGAGAGAACTAAACGTGAACAACATCAAGCAATGTTGAGTAATAAACTCGACCCCTGGTCCCTATCTCTGAGGTTGGGTAAATTGACCTTTTATAATCTACCATGCATGGTTTTCCATTTTACTTATTTGTGTCCACTTGGAAAACTGGCATACTCAAAACAAGCATGTAAAAAGAACTGCTACTTGAAAAAAAGGAACTTGAAGTTCAAAAAGTGGTTGTGGGTAGCCTTTTAAGGTTACTTTTCTGTTTCCTTTTTTAAGCCGTGAGCGTAACATAGAAAGAACAGGCTTAGTATATTTGGATTTTTTAAAAAAATTCCAGCAAGTTACAATTAAAAGCTTCTTGACAAGAATTTACATTGTCCTTGGTATCAGTTACTTCCTGCTGTTACTACTTGCCCAAAAATTCACTTGGTTAGATTTGATCATTAATTACACGATTGTAAAACAACAGTGAAATTTCATAGATCTATTTTCATAGGGATTTTTCCTTTAGGAGAGTCATTGCAGTCACAGTAGTTACATTGTGCGTGCACTATATGACACTTAAGGTGGCGTGCGCTTCTGCAACAAATTTTGCACACGCAACGTTGCACAAGTTTTTAACATGACTTGTTTCTTATTTGTGTTTTGCACTCAATTACTATACTTGGTAGCCTTAAGAGTACTATTTATGTTGTTGGAAGTTTCTTTAAACGTGTATTCAGTTATTTAAGGCTTTTTCATGCGTATTTGTTTCTTGTGTACATTACTTTGTTTCTAGATCTATCTAGTAAGTTCTGTGGTGTCGCGAAAACACATGTGTAAGCACTGCGACACCCAACTAGCGTTTTATATGGATTAGTTTTTCCGTTAGCAAGATCAGTTGACGCAAGATCTGTTAATTCCCTGCACATTAACAAGTTTTTACAAGTTTATCATTGTTCTGGTGATCAAGGCAGCCACAAGGTAATCATCTTTTACGCCATTTTAGTTTGTTTACGTAAGCGGTTTGTATCTTTACTCCCTTAAGTTCAATTTAATTAAGGTTTTAGATAAAGTCAAGTTCTATACAACATTGTTTTACTGTTATTTGTAAATTGATCTCAAGTTTTCTCCTTTCACTTTTGTAACTTTCAAAGCATGTGAAATGTATTTATATCCTGTTATTTTTGCAATCTAATTTGTACTTTATTTGTATCTTTTATTTTAGTTTTCACAGTGTTTATAAGAGTTTTAAAGAATTTTAATAAACAACAGTTTGTGAACCAACACTTAACAAATCACTGGAGCAATAGCCATTACTGTCTTTTGAACAGTAATTACTAACAGTAACTAACCAGCTCCAAGCTTAAGTTCTTGATTCTAATAGTAGTTCCCTAGTCAAAATATGGGTTATTGACCAAGCATGAGGTCAAGATGGCTGGGTAACAGCCAACTTCTTTTTTTGTGTGTTTATGAATTACAACAGAATCAAGGTCTATAAACAAGCAAAAAATGAACGAGGCCAATATCTAGCCATCTTGACCAAACAAGCTACGTCAATAAAGGATTTATTACTTGGAAGAAGAACGCTATTTTCTTGCGGGACACAGCCAGTAATACCAAGCAGGCAAGAATTGGGCAAGATGGTGTCAGGTAGCCAATCACAGTGCAGGTTTCAATTCATCTGGCCTACAGAGCTAGCCATAAGGTAAGAGACAATACTGACGCACAAACCTCCTAATATGTGTTAGTTAAGGTGAAACAATGCAAAAAGATTCCTCACCTCATCAACATCCATTCCAAATCCAGCTGGTTCTGATATAGCTCTAGATATTTCATCAGCCAGTTCTGTCTGTTCCTGAATGTCATCCATCATTTCATGCACATCATCAACATCACTGTTTAGGTGAAGATAATGAGGAACAGAATAAGTTACACATGTAGAAATTTGGTTTGCACATGGATTCCATATCACAGTCAGCTCATTTTCATTATTCAACACACAAGTTCAGTAACTGACCTGGAAGCACATATTATTTTATACTAAAGCTGATGTTACATGAGGCAATTTTTAGTAGAAATGTATATTCCATGTCACACAAAAAAATGCTGTCAAAAAAATTGTTGCAAAAATGGTAACACAGGAAGGCATGGTGGCTAATGGTTAGAACGCCGGAGTCTGGATCGCGCAGTAAGGATTTGAACTCTGGTCAAGGTCATTACATTGTGTTCTTGGGCATGACACTTTACTCTCACAGTGCCTCTCTCTGTCCAGGTGTATAAATAGATACTGGTGTACGTGATGCGAAAGAAAACCACGAGAGAAAAATGACTGCAGTAAATCCTGGGGGCGAAGAGCACGTGAAGGGGCTACCGCCTAAGCCCAAGAGTTTGCCCTTTCATGGCCGAGTGATTTTTCGGTGTAGGATTTCTCATCTTGATGTCCTCTTATTATTGCCTGTTGTCAATAAGCTTCAATAACCCTGGGAGATATCCTGAATAAAATTGCTCTACTCTACTCTTCAAGTAGCGAGGCAAAAATGAGAAGAGATATCTTCTTTCAGTGTTCGTTCAGAAAGACTGTCCAAGAAGTTTTAAAAGAAGACGGCAAATAGGGTATCTTGTAACGATTTTCAATGCGTCTGTAGATGTAAATCTAAAAGTTATTGCAAAAATTTCAAATGCAGAGTTTCAACCAAGAATTTACCAGCATTATGTGTTTGACATAGGAGATCGTCTGACTACGGTGAAATGTTTGCCGATAGCAGCGGAAAGTTTCAGGTGAATGTCCAGTTTCAAGTGAAGGTCCGGTTCAATCTTTCAAATGGACGGCGGAAAGGCCAAGCTCAGTGAATATATATTCGCTGACTTGGATGATGCTGTTGAGCGGCGATATCACAAAGAGGCTTGAAGTCGCATTGGAGGCGGGAAGCTTTGCCAAACAAAACACTGGATAAATTTAAACCTTTCCAAAGCCTGTTATCAGATTCGCAAGAATATCATGGATTGCGAAGCGCGATTCCAACGCTTTGATTTGCTCTGGTACCGTTTTGATTTGTTCCGGTTCCAAAACATTCCTGCAAGACATCACACATATCTCGAATGTTGACAACACGTTGTCAACGCTCCTAACATAAGCCAATCATATCTTTGCATTGTGAGAGCAACGCATAATTCAAACTCTTGGGCTTAGGCGGTAGTCCCTCCTTTTGTGCGCTCCTCACCTCCAGGTTTTCGCACGGCCATTTTTTTCTTGCGGTTTTCTTTCGCGTCACACACAATGGACTAAGCAAAAGAGGGACTACTCGTAGTCTACAAAATGTGAAACTAGTCGAAAAATAATAATCACAAATATATTGAAAACGGACTGCCAACAGATAAGAGCCATCTTTATTTCATACTTACTGAGATTTTTGCATAGAATCGATCGCATGAAAAACTCATACAGAAATTTCTTCATCCAATCACAATCGCGAAACAACTGTCTCACACGTGGGAAAGCGTTTCATCCAATCAGAAATCAGCTGTCAAAATGAATCAGTCAGTTTGCAACGCGTTGACGCTGTTGTTGGCGCCTCTTCAATCTTCATTCACAGAAGTTTGTAGAGTTTCCACAAGTTTACTCCAGTTTTCTCACAAATTAGCTATAAATCACAGACAATGGCGGAAAGTTTGAACAGGTTTATCGCTTTAGATAAACCCATTAAAAAGTACATCCAGGAACAGCAGAACAAAAGGACTCGAGCAAAAACCTGACGAGACGTTAGGCTAGCCTGCTTGGCGAATTCCTCAAACAGAAGAGGCAAATACGCCGTAAGCATTATCGACGACAAAGAGTTTTACCAAGCAAGGAAATGGCTCGAAGCTCGAAACAAACAACTTTAAAAAAAAAAGCAAGGCAAAGGAAACTAATCAAACGCAGCTGAAGCGTTGACTGATGACCAGGTAAACAATCTGTGCGAAAAATATTTACACTAGGTTTTTGAAGAAGCGACAAAGTGCTTGCACTCAGACAGAATAAAAACATAACTTGACATTTTTTCTGCCAAATGAAGGGTGAAAACTTGGTTGGGGGTGAAAATCTCAGTAAATATAAAATAAACAAATTACAGCATGGAAAGTGCTTTGTACGGTATTTACGCACTCGTTGTTTTTGTATCAGAAAACTCACGTGTAAGGACCATACGCCCACACTTTCCATGAAGTAATCTATATATCATACAATAATGTAGAAACCAAAACATTTCATGTCACATACGCATTCTGAAGTGTTTCCGACAGTATATAAGATTTTGCAAATCAGATTATATTACAGTTTTCTTCAACTGCCTACAATAAATTACTAATAACTTCCTTGTCTAATCAATAAAGTTTTCAATTTCTGTGACAAAAATCTCTCATTCAGATGTGTAATCTGATTTCTTCCAAACCAAATGAATTCAAATTTATACTTAACAGTCTGACACTAGTACATGGTTGTTAGAAAATGCTTTGCAAAGCTAAAAAGAAAACGTTAAACAGAAAACATGGGTTATCAGCTCATGTTACTAAGAAAGGGGAGGGGAGGGGAGGAGGAGCAGTGGGCTAATAATACAACACCTAGTGGAGACACTTTGAAGGATCACCTGGAAGGATCAAGATTCTTTTTAACAAAACACACACTCACAAAAATGGGAAAATGTCTGCTAAAACCTGATGATTCACTTGGTACATTAACATTTCGAAAAAGGAAAACAATCGCTACTGAGTGCTAATTTTGACGGTGTGCTTGGATATTATGGTCTTATGGTATAAGCAGGCTGACTTGAGGTCTGCAGCTGTTTAGTAGTCTGTTGGCTAACTGAATTTGACGGGACGTTGGAACTTTTAAAAATACTAACATCGGAATGAAATGATAAGCTTGAATGGCCGTTAATGTTTAGAAATGTACTCACAGTTGCTGATGAGCGGATTTGAGAGCCTTAGCTGCATATGACATGTTCTTGAGGACTTCAGTGTTAGTGTTGGCGTTCTCCAGCGCCTCTCGTTGAAACTCAATCGTGGACAGTGTTCCATCGATTTGTTGCAGTTGCTTTTCGAGCCGTTTCTTCCTCTTTAACGCCATTAATGCAGCTATAAACAAAAGTACAAACCTGGGCATGACATTTTCATCAGCATCGCCGGTCGCCGATTCAGTGAGCAAACAAAATCACTTAAACTGATATCTAGCTATGGCTCACCTCTCTTGTTCTTGGAAGCAAATTTCCTAGCCGTTGCTACTTCTGTATCGATCTTTTTCTCCAAGAATTCGCTCTTCTTCGTCAACATTTCTTCTGTGGATCGCAATTTTTGAATCGCCTCTTGAGTAGTTGGCGGTTGCTCTTTGTTTCTTCCACCGAAGATTTTCCACATTTTGAGATGCTAATTTCTACACTTTTTTATGAGAACAATAAATCAGTCTTCCAACGACAAAATGAAGCCAAAACTGTCCTAAAATTCCTGCAGCAAGACGACAAACTCACAGCTCCAAGTAAGACCTAAATTTAGGTTTAGGACGTCATGTCCTTATTAGCAGTCTTTGTAACCAGGCAAAATGACGGCAAGAACCTGGCCGCTAATAAGGGCTGGGGATCTTGGCGTGGGAGGAACCCGCCGTCCTTTGAGACTAAGAGACTAAATGTAGGGGTTAGTTTAGATTGGTTTTTTTACTTTTCAGTTTAGTTTCGCCTAGGGGAAGTTAGTATGGCAAACGATTGGCTGCCCGTACGGATTCTTATCAGTCACTCGACTCCGGATCCTTCCTGAGCGAAGACTTTTTGCCGTGGAATGGAAGTCAGTATGGGCCGTAAGGATGTAAGCCCGGGGATATAAGGAAGTGAAAACGAGGCTTAGAAGTAGTTACGCGTAATTTAGAATAATTAAATTACCAAGATAAATACCGCTCACGGATGTTACATTCAAATAGTAATTCTAGCTGCATTATTCAACGGACAAATTCTCACCAACAAATAATCAGGCAAAACCAAAGTCTATCAATAGGGACTTAGTTTATAGGAGATTAGCGTCTCTTGTGTTTGGTTCTGGTTGTTTTTGTTGTTATTTCTGATTATCTCACTGGTTCATTGTCTTGTGTCGCATGCGTTTGTCTTATCGACCAGATGTTGTGACTGTAATGATTCAATTTAGCGACGAGAGATTGTCAGTGATCTGATCATAGTCTCTTGTTTAGGGCCACTCTTCTAATAGACATTTCCTTTTTAATTCACGCTCCATTTTGAGCATGTATTTAAGCGCTCCTATTTCAGTAAGAAGTCCCCTTCCAATCGCGTCCCCAGTGAGAAAGTGACAGTCAAAAAATTGACATGAAATAAAATGATTCGACGAGTAAATTATGTAACCTGTTTTCTCTTTGGAATAATGAAGTAAATGGTGTTATGACTACGAAAGTCCCTATAGCTACATTTCTTGTGCTAAAGGATATTAGTATCACCCAACTAGTGGACTAATGCAAATCCTGCATTTTGATTGGCTACGCTACTAGGGGACTATCAGTAATAGTCATCGAGTAGCGAAATTGGCGCCATCGAGCGTGACGCTTTCTTTCGTTTTATTCCCAAATAAATATTTCTTCAACTTGCATTTGCTAACT